AGGAGGATGAAGCCGAGGCCTGCCCGGGGCCTGCTGGGAAGGGAGCCTTTCCCCGCCGGCTTCCAAACAGAGAGCCCAGGAAGGAGGAAGAGTTGGAGACAGGGCGCCCAGGTGCCTTGTACTCCTCTGGAGGTGGTGGTGCAGGTACCCGCTGGTGGGGCCGGGGGCTGCTAATAATATCCCCGCCGGCTTCCAAACAGAGAGCCCAGGAAGGAGGAAGAGTTGGAGACAGGGCGCCCAGGTGCCTTGTACTCCTCTGGAGGTGGTGGTGCAGGTACCCGCTGGTGGGGCCGGGGGCTGCTAATAATAGATCCCTGAGGGTGGGGGTAGAAGAACGGGGGACGGTGGCAGGGGAGAAAAAAAAGAGAGAGAGAGAGAGAGAGAGAAAGGGAGGGAAACAGACATGGAGTGAGATTGGATAAGTTCCATCTCTCCTTAACAAGGCGTTGACTGGGTAAGCCTTGCCCTGAGTAGTCCCACTCCTTTGAATACGCCCCGCCCCTCCTTATAGCCCAGCCTAGCATGCAATGGGTGAATCCTGGATATGGCCCTCTCCCATGTCACTCCACCCCCTGGGATATGCCCTGACCCTACATAAAGCCCAGAAAAACACAGAAGGGGTTAATCATTGGGGCTGCCCCTCCTCTAAGTAGCCCCAGCCCTTCATGAATAATCTGACACACAAGGAATTAAACATAGAGGCCATGCCTCCTCTAAGTAGCTCCACCCCCTGAAATAAGCTCCACCCCTCCATAAAGCTCAGCCTGGTACCTAAGAGATAAATGGTGTAGCCCTGCCCCTCCATTAACACAGCCTTGCCCTGGTTAACCTGCAGGCTGCCCCCCCTCCCAATCCCTTGTTGTCCCCACCCAACTTGGAGGCTCCCTTCACTCCTGTAGAGGGTTCCACCCCCTCAAGGAAGCCCCACCCCTAAGAGACCTGGTTCTTTCTTAAAGGCTAAGAGGCCCTGCCCCACCCTTGAGCTCCACCCAGTACATGCCAGGAGGCCCCGCCCTTTTCTCCAGCCCCCTTCCTCATCATCCAAGTCCTTGGTCTAGGCCAGGGGTCAGCAACTTTTGGGCAGAATGCCAAAAACGCCCACAACCTTGACTTGTAATATGTTGATGTGCCAGGGGAGATGGCAATGGAGTCGTGAGGAGCCTGCTCCTTGTGGCAATGCAGCCTCGGCACCTTCCCTAAGGTGTATGTGCCAAGCAAAATGCCTTTGTGTGCCACACATTGGCACCAGTGCCCAGGGTTCCTTACCCCTGGTCTAGAACTTGTCCTGGTACCTGAGAAGCTACAACACCTCTGCTCAAGCCCCACTCCTTAACAAACTCCATTACCTTGAGCCAAATGTGGCTAAGCTCCGCCCTTTCCATAAGCCCCGCCCCACAATGAATCCTGCTTCTTATACAGCCCATCTCCTTGCTCCTTCACCTGGTTACACCCTCCTCCAGTAGCCAAGCCAACTTTAAAGCCCTGCCTCCTGCCTCTCTCCATGTGGTTTAAAGAGGCTAAAGAGGCCCAAAGCACGGTGGGAAGGGACCCAAAGGGGACCACACAGGGTGGGAGGAGGCACAGAGACGCTTGCCCCCTTCACCCTAGTCCAGGATGGACGGACAGGAGAGAGACAGGCAGAAGGATGTGGAGGGGGGGAAAGAGGTGCTGGGAATACCCCCCTCCCCCACTTACTTCGATGGTGCTGTCCAAGGATCCCACGCTGTTTCGACGCCCCCGCTTGCCTACACAGGGGAGGGGGGATGGGGGGGGAACAGAGTAGGGGATTAGTGAAGCCCCCCCAACCTGGGCTGGCCCAGCAGAGCATGGGAGAGCGGCAGATGCAGGTGGCAGAGAGACAAGAGACAGAGACAGACAGACTGTCTACCTGCCCAGACCTTGGCACACAACAGGTTAACCCAGCCCTGACTCCACCCCCCACAGCCTGGCACACAAGGGGTTAACCCAGCCGTGGCTCTGCCCCTTCTCATCCTGGCACAGATAGGACTAACACAACCTAGCTCCACCCTGCCAGCACATAGTGTTAATCCGGTCCTGACTGCCTCCCCAGGGCTCCCCATTGGCTGTGGCAGCATGGGGAGGTTCCCCTCCTTCCCCACCAGGGGAAGCCCCAACTGCTCCCTCCCCCTCCCCACAAACCTAGAACAATGAGGAAGAGAACCCAAGTGCCTGGGCTCGGGCCCACCCTGGTGGGGATGGTTTCAGGTGCCTTGGTTGGTCCCTGGCCCCTCCCTCCTTGCTGGGTGACACCCTGGTGTCTAGGCTCCCAGACAGACAGAGAACAGAACTCAAGTGTTCTGGGATACAGCATCTGCCTTCTGAGCTGGCTGGAACCCAGGCATCTAGGCTCCCAGCCTGCCTCAGCAGAGACAAAACCCAGGTGTCCGGGCTGGCTCCTAGCCCCTCCCACTTTGCTGGCTGGAAACCAGGTGTCTGGGCTCTCAAACCTATAACAGAACCCAGGTCCCCCATCCTCCACAACCCCTCTAGCACAAGGAACCCCAACATCCCACCCCTCCCCTTTTAGAGGACCAGGTGTCCACTCCCTCCCCGCACAAGGGACCCTGGCATCCCATCTGTTCCACACCTTCCCCAACCCCCCACCCCCATCCTGGGGAACTAGGCATCTGGGCTCACCAGCTTCAGAGAGGTCACGCAAGGAGCTGCTGAGGGCACTACGCTTGAGACCATCAGCCAGCGCATAAGAGTCATCCAGGCTGCCCCGTGACAGTGACCCATTCACTGCATCCCCCCCAGAACCCCCACCTGGGGGCCCCCGCTGCACCCCCTTCTGCTTCTCCAGCTCCAACCTACAGCCCCCTCCATTGCCCCATGATGACCCTCACTCCAGAGCCACAGCCTCCCCACAAAGCCCAGTGTCCTTCACTCCCAACATGCAACTCTCCCTCTGCTGAACTTGGTGCTCCTCACTCCAAAACCGTAGCTCCCTCATCACCCCCAGTCTCATGGGACCCCTCACTCCTGACCTACAGCACACCCCCCCAGCCTGGTGCCTCTCACTTCCAACCCACAGGTCCCCCTGGCCCACAGTGGACACCCCTCTCCTCCCATACTGGTGTTCTTCACTCCTGACCCACAGCCCCCCCCCGGCTTACGGTGGACCCCCTCTTCCTCCCACACAGGTGCCCCTCATTCTCACCCCTCAGGCTCTCATCACCCCACAGTGCCCTTCACTCCCAACCTACAGCCCCCACAATAGCCCCCATGGGGCCCCTCACACTCATCCCACAGCCCCCTCCACTCACACTCCACGCGGTATTTCTCCATCTCCTGCACCTCAGCCACCGACTCACGCAGGTCGCTGGTGAAGCGTAGCCGGTCCTGCAAGCTCGGTGCATTGAAGATGATCAGAACCTTCCGGTCCCCACCAGGTGCTGCCGACAGCAGCTTAATCCCGAATTGATAATCTGGGATGAGGGAGGAGGAAGTCAGTTGGGGCTGTAGGTTTGGGAGTGAGGGGCACTACAGGGTGATGTAGAGGCTGCGGGTTGGGAGTGACAGACATCATGGGATGATATAGGGGCTATGGACTGTGAGGGAGGGACCCTGGGTGCAGTTTTTTGGGGGGGGAGGGGGGCAGCAGGGGCAGGGCTCACATGAATTCTGGAAGAGCTGCATGTGCATGTCAACTAAGGGGAAGCTCTGACGGAAGCTGTAGGTCACCAGGATCTTCTTCTTCTGGAAGATCTTTGTCACCTGGCCAAGACAGGAGACAGGGAGGGGGTATCAGTGGGGAAGGTACCCAGGCATCTGGACCCCATACCCCCAAGGAACCCAGGCATCCAAGCCCCAGAACCCAGGCCCCACCGCAGGGAATCCCAGCATCTGTCCCCCCTCCACCCCCGCTCAAACCAGGGAACCCTAGCATCTGGGCCCTGCCCCCAGGGAACCCAGATGCCCAGGCTCCACTCCCCACACTGAACCCTAGCATCTGGACATCATCCCTGCAGGCAACCCAAGACTCCAGGCCCTGTCCCCTCTGGAAACCTAGGCATCAGGGTGGGCTCACCACAAGCAGGTCATTGAAGAGGAAGACTTCACGCTGGTGCAGTCCCATGCGCTGTGGCCGGTTGGGGTCAGGCACCTCATAGAGTTGGCAGCAGCAGACCAGGCGCCGGTGGGGTAGCGACAGCACCTGGGCAGGGCAGGGCAGGGCAGGGCAGGTGTTGAAGCCAGGGTGGAGCCATCTGAAAGTCTCCCTACCCAGGTGCAAAACCACATCCCCTAAAGCAGCAACCCCACCAGACAGCCTCAGGCAGGAAGTCCCACCCCCTTGGCAGGAAGTTGGGGTTTGAAGCCGGAAGAGCCACCCCCTAGACAGGAAGTCATATCCTAAGGCAGAAAGTCCTGGCACAGGCCATAGCTTGATACAGGAAGTCCTGCCTCCTGGGCAGGAAATCACAGCCTGAAATAGGGAGTCCCATCTCTTTGTTGAGAAGGCCCACCCCTATGATGAATGCCCCACCCCTGGACCTGAAGCCCCGCCCACTGAGCCAGGGGCACCTGCCTCCCCATGGCAAGAAACAGCCCCTAAACCCAGAGGCAGGGGCCTTGTCCCCAGACGGGAAACCCGCCAGTCATACTAGAAGCCATGTCTCTTATGCTGAAATCCCTTCCCCTGCAAAGCTGAGGCCCCACCCCTTTCCTCAGAAGCTCCACTCCATATTAGAGGCCCCACCCCCTACAGAAAGACACAAGGTTCTCTAAACAGAAAGCTCTGCCCTCCAGAAAGAAATCGTGCCCCCATCGTTAATACTCTTAAATCCTGCCCCTAGATCAGCTATTCCTGCCCCTATAAGCCCCTCCCCCAAAACAGGAAGCCCTGCTCCCTAGCCCAGAGGACTCACTTTCTAACCATGAGGCTTACCCCTTTCCCAAGAAGCCCCACCCACTAACCCAGAAGCTCTGCCCCTATCCCATAGGCTCCACCCCTAGCACAGAGGCCCTGTCCGCTAATGAAGAGGTCCCTCCCCTGGCCCATAAGCACTGCCCCTCGCCCATACCCTAACCCTGACCCACCGCCAGCCCAGAAGCTCCTAACCCTGGAGGCCACACCCCCTAGTCCAAAGACCCTGTCACCTCACCGAGAGACCCTGCCCCTTGGTTCAGAAGGCACCACCCCATAACCCGGAGGCCTGTCCCCTCACCGGCTTCTTGCCCACGATCATGCGCTCCACAGCCTGGACCTGGGAGACATGGTCATCACTGGCCCGGAGCTCACGACTCTGGATGCGCTGGTAGATGCCGACCAGTAACTCCCGTGGAATGTCCTCTCCATTGTCCACCCCTGCCAGATGGATGGACAGATGCATGGCCATGGCGGCCCTGCACCCTTGCCCTGGCTCTAGATCTCCCCTCCTGCATTCTAGGTCACAAGGCTGGTATTCTAGATCAGACCTCCCTCCCATTTGCACTCCACAGTGGGGTGTTTCTGGAGCTGGTCTGGCTGTATTCTCAATCACACCTGGCAGTCTAAAACCCATCATTGAAGTGCTCAGGTTCTAGAGCCTATTACAGGCCTTTCTGGGCCCACAAAAAGACCTAGACTGCGATCTAGATCTTGGATATGTTCTAGAATGCTGGAAACCCTAGCCTCTGGCCTTCTTGCCAAATTGTTACGTGTGTGGTGGCACTCTAGAACCAGGCCTTATGGGCCCCTCCAACATGACCCCCGGTGTCAGGGATAGGCCAATCTCTATGGGTCAATTGGAGGGTAGTCTACAAGGTTCTAGATCACCTCCGTGTGGCGGTAGCCATTGGTTCTAAATCACCACTGTATCACATCCAGTTCTTCTAGATACCAGTTCCCACAGCCATTTGAGCTGGATGGCAGAGGGTGGCATCAGCAGGTGTAAACTTGTCCTATGGTGGTTCTAGGTCCCCACAGGGCGCTCTCACCTCGGAGGTTCTTGATGAAGTCCTCCAGCTTCATCTTGCGCTCAGCCTTCACGCTGGGGCTGTACATGTCTGTGTTAAGCAGGATCACAGCGAAAGCCAAGATGAAGATGGTGTCCGGGTTCTGGAACTGGCGCACCAGCGGAGCGTTGCAGACACAGTAGCGCTGGCTGGAGGGTAGGAGGGGGCATCAGGGTCTACAACTGCTGCCCATTAACTACCTTTATTTGCTGGAAATAGCGATGGAATTCTAGAGCAGCTGGGTTCTACAGCAGGTCACCAGATGAGGGCGAGTACAGTGAGGGAAACCCTGTGCTCAACAAGTCTTCAGGCTCTAGATCATGCCACAACCTGGAGCGTGTGGTCAGAGTTGTGCTCTATAATGTCATTCATGTGTCCCAGATTCTAAGTGATACAACTGCAGGAGTGTGGTTGGACAGGACAGGTCTGATTCTCATGCTCAAAAATGTACACCCAGTGCCTGGTTCTTACAGCCCCAGTGCCTGGTTCTAGATGGCAGGGCACTGCCTGGATAAGGGCATGATCTAGAACATCATCTGGGGGGAAAGGTGGGGCCAGACCAAGGTTACCACCATGCGGTAGAGCACATATGTTAGAGAACATGGACACCCACGTGGGTTGGTTGGGGAGGGTGGCATCAGCGGGTCTCTTGGCCAAAGCTGATACTCCCATCCCAGGTTCTAGGCTTCACCACAGTGACAGACATGAGCCCCATGTCCAGAATAGTGCCTGGAGAGAAAGGAGCTAGGAGCTGTCCCCAGTGCAAATACAGCCCATGTTCTAGAGCACAGCCCTGATTCTGGAGACTGGTGTGGGGAGAAAGGAAGGACCAGAAACAGGAGTGTAGTGGAGCTATGATGGTGACTTCCCATGGCCAAAAACATTTCAAAGCACAAAGAAGTAGCTGACAGATTACAGAACCTCAGGAATCTAGAACCCCAAGGGCTCACCTGAAGGCTTCAATGAGTCGCTCAACTTTCTGGGCCTCCCCCTGGACGCGGATGTGGGACTGGAACTTGCGAAGGGCCTCATCCAGTTCCATGTTGGAGAAGTCCATCTCATCCACCACACAGCTGCGGGGGGCAGGAGGTAGGGGCTGGAGTGACTCCTCCTGGTTCTAGGCCGCTCAACAGTGGTTCTAGATCATGCACCAGCAGTTCTAGACCACCCAGCTTCCACTCTAGGCTAGCCAGCTGTTCTAAACCACACAGCAGTAATTCTAGGCTGTCCAGTGCTTCCCAGGAATACCACCTTATATTCCTCACCCTCTGATCTAGAGCATGATAAGGATGCATCTTCCCACCTCTGGAAAGACTGTTTGTCTTGAAAAACATTCTGGAACCCATGACTTAGAGCTTGGCTCATGCTCACCTCTGTGCTTCAGGGATTTAGTTGTGTTCTTGATTCTCTCAAATCCAGTCACCCTTCCCTGAGCCCCAGCCACAGCACACCACTTGTTCTGGGTCATCCAACTGATTAACAGATCCATTCAGTCTAGACAGGTTACCCCTGTGTTTTCCATGTAAACCATTCCAGACAGACTGCCCGATTGGTTGGTTCCACATAGATCAACAGGTGTATGTGTTCTAGATTAATCAGACAGCCCATTGGTTCTAGATAAACCAACTGGTCTGTTTCTTCCGGATATATCAACCAACATACCTAGGTCTCTCATTCTAGACCAACGGACTTGTTCAGTCTACATAAACCCATACTTCCCAAACAGACTAATAGGTGTCCATCCAATCCCCACATACCAACTAGCCTATCCTGTTTTACATGCATCAATGGGCCTGTCTCATCCAGATGAATCAACCACTGCATCCTGTTTAGATACATCAACCACTCAATTCATTCCAGATGGGCCCACTGACACGGGTATTCTAGATACATCAATTCCTTCAGTCATTCTAGATGAGCCAACCAATCTCATTTTTCTGGATAGACCAGTCCAGTTCTTGACAAAGCAACAGGTCTTCAAAATAGGCCAATCTATTAATTCAGAATACTTCAACACACATTAATTAACCTGTTATAGATAAACCACCCATCTCTTGCCTCCTGACAGACCAGCTGCCAACTTCAAGCCCTTCATGCTAGATAGGCCAACTGGGCCCACCCAAACTGTGTACAAAGGAACTGGTTCATTCACTGGTGGACCATGAGGCCCATCACATTCAAATGCATGAACCATGCCTGTTGCATTCTAGGTACATCAAGTAGTCCACTGGTTCTAGAGGGATCTAGATACCAGAAAAATAGTCTAAATGCTAAGCCCTTGGTTCAACATGCATCAGCAGGACTTTTCGTTCTAGACATACTAACCCACTCTGTTCTAGGTATGTCAACTGTGAGGCCTAGAGCTGCCTGTTCTAGATATACTAATGGACCCAGCTGCAACAGCTGATACTGGCTGCATCCTGGACTCCAATACAGTCCCCCAATCTCACCCTGTTCTGAGGACCAGCTGGTCCTAGGACCCTACTCTAGAACCACAAACCACTGATCTAGAACTTGAGGAATGATGGTCTAGAAGTGGTTCTCCTCCACATCAGAACGCAGGCTCCTGAAACATGCTGTCCACCCCGCCAGCTCAACTACCCCTCCCCACCCCAGAGGTCCCTCCCCCACCCCAGGGGTGGCCCATACTCGAGGACATCACGGTTGAACTGCTTCTGGCGGTTGCCAAGGAACTCGCCAATCATCTGGCGGCTCAGACCCTTGCGCTCCAGGATGAAATGGGCGACACCCACGGGTGTGTCCGATAGGAATCCACGTTCAATCAGGTACTGGATCCCCTTCTCTGGCTTCCTGTAGGGAGGAGATGGAAGGTCAGGAGTAAGGGTCACTGTGAGGTGATGGGGGGCTGTGGGTTAGAAGTGAGGGGCACTACGGGGTGATGGTGGAGGCTGTAGGTCAAGTGTGAGGAGCACAAAACTCCTCTCCCTCCTAGGCCCCCATTCTCTACTGTTAACCCCTTCCTTACTGTATCACTCACCCCCCTGCTATCAAACCCCACCTGTTAGCCCCACCCCCTGCCCTCCTAGCCCTGCCCCCAGGGCCTCACTTGTTGAAGAGGTTGAGGCCGATGCGGTACTGCCGGCGCTGGACCACGTCGTTGCTAAAAGCAGGCGAGTCCCAGCTGTGCCGTGTCTCCCGCTGGTAGGTCTGTTTGCAAACCCCACCCCCTCCACTGCCAGGCCCCACCCCTCCCCCTCCCCCAGGACCTGGCGGAGGCTGGGGAGGCTGGGGGGGTG